ATATAGAATATTTGTGTCTGACCTGTGGTGGAACCTTCTGAGGTCCTGTTGATATAATTAGCCACAGCTAGTCATGCAGTATATTGACCATGGCATTGTGATGTCATTCTCCTAGTTGCTTCAGAATTTGTTGTTAATTTGAATTGTTAAATTTAACCATCTTGAAGTTTGCCGCATACTCCCAGCATATTAAAAAACTATTTATTTTTAATTAATTTTTTTTATGGAAGTGATCATCTGTGGATTGTTTCAATTGACACTTTATTTTTAGTGTTCAGAAATTCTGAGCAGTTTTCTTGTGTTATTTTTTTTCATTATGGTATTCAGGCTTTTGATTTGCGATGTTCTGGGAGATCTATAATATTTAAGTTGTCTCTATGCACCCTGTCTTTCAGATCAATATGTTTTGCTTGTATAGTAGTTATGTTTTCTTTGAATGTTAGTGCTTTTTGTTTCTCTTCTTCCAGATTACAACCCCTGTGTATTGGAATTTCCAATCAGCTTTTCTCTCTTATTTCTTGAGGAAGATTTGCCACCATGGATTTAAATATTTCCATTCTGCCAATTATTTCTACTATGCAGGCCATAAGCTTTGCTTTCATGATTCTTATGGTTCCCACTACCTGAAGACCAAGTATGTTGCATTTTACATTACCCCAGAGTTTTCTGGTACCATTAAAAGTGTTGGGGGTATCTAGTCTCTCTGTGATTGATTCAAGCCCCAACCAATGGTGTTACCACAATTTTAGGGATTTCCTGCATCCGGCTTCATTTCACAATGCATTAGTCAGATTATCTTTTACAAAGGGATATTTACTTTAAAAGTGTAAGAGCAAATATATAAAAATTCTTTCCTCCTTCCCCACACAATATGTGAGGGGGACTGAAGTGAGACTACCTCAGGTTCACAGCTTAACTCAGTTCCTATATGATGTGGTTCCACCAAGTTCCAAGTCTAATACCCCACTCCTAGGCTTGATTCCTGACACGCTGGCTTCTCAAGACTTCCCAGTTGAATTGGTAGTAGCATGTGGCTTGCTAGTAATGTGAGCTTCTGGAGGGCAGAGACCATTTTTTTGCCTCTTCTCATATCCCTGGTGCATAGTATAGTGCCTGGCACATATTAGGAACTAAATAAATGTTTATTAACTAACTGATTAACTGAATCCTGCTTCCAAGATCACCATGGCTTAAGTTCCCACATGAAAGGATTCTACCATCTGTACCTAGGACTGAAAAGAAAAAGACAAAAGAAACAGACCAAACCCCTAAGTATGAATCTTGGGGCCACAGAGACTAAAAAAAAGAGGGAGAGGTAGTTCTTCCCCCTGCTCAGCTCAGTTCATGGTGTGAGTGAACGGTTCATCCCACTGCATACTGGGTGTGGGATGGGGATAGAGAAAAACTGTTCCAGGCTAGTACTTTTAAAGACAAATATTGTTTAGGTTACACAGCCAAGAGAAAGAGACTGCTTCCACCAATATGATAGCAGAATGCCGAATATCCTTTTGCTGAAACAAATTCTTCCTTCTTAGGTGTTCTAGGCATGTGCAAGGCCAAGAATTCTTACACTTACTTCTCTCTTAAACCAATCAAGAACATCATACTGTTTTTGGAAATTAACTGCATTCTCTGCCTCATCAGGTGTTAATTCATTTTTCTTTGTCTAGCAATATTTCTTCTGAAATGCTTAGACTAATTTAAAAAATCTATGTTGAATTGAATTTATTTTATTAAACATTCCCAATTACATTTTCTTTTAGAAATTTTAAAATTTATTTTTAACATTTAAAAGAATTTGAGTTCCAAATTCTCTCCCTTTCTCTAGGCTCCCCCTCATCCATTGAGAAAGCAAACAATATATTGATTTTGTATGTGGAGTGTCATGCAAAACATATATCTATATTAACCATGTTACCAAAAAAGCAAGAAAAATAAAGTGAAAAAAGATAGCTTCAATCTGCATTCAGAGTTCATCAGTCCTCTCTCTGGAAGTGGATAGCCTTTTTCCATCATGGGTCCTTTGAAATTGTCTTAGATCATTGTAACAATTAAAATAGCTAAATCTTTCACAGTTGATCATCATTACGATATGGCTGTTACTGTGTACAATGTTTTGATTCTGCTCACTTCACTTTGCATTGGTTCATATAAGTCTCCCCAGGTTTTCCTGAAAACATCCTACTTGTAATTTCTTAGAGCACAATAATATTCCATCCTAATCATACAGTACATTTTGTTCAACTGATCCCCAATTGATGAACATCTTCTCAATATCCAATTCTTTGCCACCACAAAAAGAGGTGGTATAAATATTTTTGTACAGTCCTTTTCCTTTTTAAAAAAAATCTCTTTGGGATACAGACCTAGTGGTGATATTTCTGGGTCAAAGGATATGCAATTTTATAATCCTTTGGGCATAGTTCCAAATTATTCTCCAGAATGGTTGGTTTATGATTCCACCAACAGTGAGTTAGAGTACCTATCTTAGCCAGTCTGATAGGTGTGAGGCGGTACCTCAGAATTGTTTTAATTTGCCTTTCTCTCATCAATAGTGATTTATAACAGTTTTTTGTGTGTGATTCTTGATAGTTTTGATTTCTTCTTCTGAAAACTGCCTGTTCATATTCTTTGACCTTTTTTTTCAATTGAAGAATGGCTCTTATTTTTTGTAAATTTGCCTCAGTTCTCTATATATTTGAGAAATGAGGTCTTAGAGAGACTATCTTCCCTTCTGTTATTAATATCATCCCCACAGGATTATTTGCTTATGTTCTAAGTTTTTCTTCTGAGTTCTGAGTTTTCTTCCTTCTGAGATCTTTGGTTATTCTGGTCTTTTCCCCTTACTTTCTGATTCTTTACCCTTCAATGGTGGATCATCAAAGGATGGACATCTTCTTATTTTGGGGAATTCACTTTTCATCAACCTGTTTCTGCCTCAAGAGATGTTTGGCAGGGATGGAGAGGCTGGGGGCAGGGACAGTATTGGTGTTATCCAGATACCAGTTTCCTTTCCTTCAGGTCTACTGTAGCTCCACTCACATGAGAGAACCTGCTGTAGTATCTTCTGTTCCTTAATTCTCAGGCTGAACACTGATGCAGTGCAGTAGGATGTTGCCCAAGGCAGAGCAAGTTTCTGTTTTCTTGTACCTTCTTTTAATTAAGGTAAGCTAGGCACTCATATAACAATATTAGTTGAAATGATGTCTCAAATAAAAGTAGGATTATTGCTCTAGAGCAGGAGTTGTTATGTCTATAGATAGCTTTGATTTCCTCATCTGAAAACAGCCTGTTCATATCCTTTGACCAAATATCAATTGTGGAATGACTTGTATTCTTATAAATTTGACTCAGTTCTTTATATATTTAAGAAATGAGGCCTTTATCAGAAAAACTCGATGTAACTTTTCCCCCCTCAGTATCCTGCTTTGCTTTTAATCTTAGCTGCATTAATTTTGTTTGTGCGAAGCCTTTCTAATTTAATGTAATCAAAATTATTCATTTTATATCCTGTAATGCTCTCTATCTCTTGTTTGGTCATAAATTCTTCTCTTACTCATAGATATGGTGGGTAAACTATTCCATATAGAGCAGGAGTTCTTAACCTTTTTTTGTGTATCATGGACCCCTTTGGCAGCCTGGTGAAGTCTGTGGACCTCTTCTCAGAATAATGATTTTAAAATGTATAAAAGAAAATACAGAGAATTTAAAAAGTTCAATTTTATTTTATTTGCAGTTTTTAATTCTCTCCCTCCCTCTCCTTCCCTTCCTTTATCCAGTAAGAAGGCAAGAAAAATAAAATCTTTTACAGATTTGTATAGTTATGCAGAAGAAATCCCCACAATTTAAAAAAAATTCTGTTTTTTTATCAAATATATAAGATTACAAAGTAAGCCAATTATATTGAAATATAGACATAAAATAGAAAAAAAAACAGTTCAAGGGACCCTAATAGGACTTGAAGAGTTCTTTGAGGCTATATACTACAGCCCCCATATTATATATATGAAGAAACTGAGGCCCAGGAAAGCTAATCAACTTTCCCACTGTTGCAGAGACAGTGAACATTAAGGCTAGAATTTAAGCTCCTAGTACCTTGCCTCCAGAACCAGTGGTCTTTCCACTGTAGCATGTTATTTTTCTAATTAAGAGCCTGGAGAGGGAAGGCAGGTTTCCTTTGAATAGTAGTGCAGGAGTTTTAATGTATTATCTTTGTTACATCAATTTGGACTATTTAAAAGCCTTTTCTACCTACTTTATCATTCTGTTATGTTCTTCATTGTTGTGCTTGTCATGTTAGAGACCTCTAGACAAAAGGAGGATTTTCATAATAGTATTTTCAGACTATAGCAATCCTCACTAATGATTTCTTTAAAATACATTTCTTTCCTCATATAACACTTGTAAATAACTAGCAGTTTATAGATACAATTCACAATTTCCTTCCTTTAATTTAAAAAAAATCTCCTGTTTGGCCAAGAGTTAACTGTATCACTGTCCTTTTTTTTTTTTTTGTAGAACCAATAAACCTGAACCCATGCTATATTTTTCTTATATAAAATAGAATTTATAGAAAACTATATTAATTACATTTTTTGGGTCTATATATACATATTCATGATATACATTTAACCAAATGAACAGTCTTGTTTGTCTCTTTGATGTAAATGAATCAGCTGAATGAAAGTATGAGGGTAGAGCACACCTTGGGTAAAATGATTTTCCTCATATTCACCTTATAAATGACTTTGAATTTGCCTGTGAAATGATTTCCCATAAAATGCTGCAATACTAATCTGTGGATCCTTTAAATTGGTCTGGTTTTTTTTGTTGTTGTTGCTGTTGGAGAGCAGATTCTGCCTTTGATTGAAATGGAATCTTCCACTATTTATCAAGTCTTTGTTGAATGAGTCATCCAAGCTGCCTCTTATTGGCTGAGGTGGTTAGTTCCCAAGGGATTGCCTGGCAGAGGCTGCAAGACCCTGCTTCATTCACAGAAATATTGGCTTGCTAGCTAGCCCTTTCATTCACAGAAACAGAATTTCATTCACATTTTGTTGTTTTTATCTGCTTCTAATGAAGAGAACTGTTTGGGAGTGACAGGGAATTTTGTTTTCTCTTTGGATAACAGTAGAAATAATCTATCGTGTGTGTGTATTTGCTGTTGCTATGATAGCAAGGGGAAGGAAAAAATGAGTTCTGTGCCTATGCTGTAGGAGGTTTGCGACATGATGAAAGGTGATTCTGCAGCTCACTAGAAACTTGCTTTTAGGTTGAATAGGACATTTCTATTGTTCATCAATCCTGGAATCAGACTTGTTGGCTTCCTTTACTGTGCTACAAATTATACTAATTAAATACAATTATTTAAAACTGTTTAAATGGCTTATATACTGCAGCTTTTTGCTCACAGTTGTTGAGGAGACCCTCAAAATGACTTAATAACATGCTGTGGTGAGTCTCACTTATTTTAAAAGGAAATTGCTCATTTTTAAGACTATTTTTATTTTTTTGCCTGTGCTCTGCATGCTCAAAAATTAGTAAAGCTAATTCCACGTCAGAAATTAGTGGGGAATTTTTTGAACCTGCACTGGACCTTTCCAGTAGAGGGAATTTCCCATTTGTTTTTATCAGATGGGAGAAGGAATGCAAATTTTTATCTCAAACCTGACATCTGACTTTTCAAGAGAAAGGATTTTCCTGTGGATTATATGCATAATGAAAGCAAGATCATTTCTCCTCCTTACTGACTACAGGACATCAAGCTACAACTGAAAGGAATTTGATTTTTTAAAATTCTGTTTCCTAGTAATTTTTATGGTTTAAACAACAGAAACCTTCAAGTGGTATTGAGCTCCATGTAAAGTTCTTTCTTTGGGATGGATTTCTGTGGAGAAAAGGCAAATTATTTCTGAAGCTTGTTACCATATTTAGGAAATGTTTTTCTTTTGATATATGTACTTAATTTACTGGATAAGGAAAAAGGGACTACTATAGCTTATTAAGAGAGATAAGTGCTGTGCAAAGGTCAGATGCAGCCATTTTCTTAAGAAACTGCATTGCCACAAGACACTTGTTATGGCTGCTCTGCTGTTTTGGGGTGTGGTATGGTGGGGGGAAGGAAATTAGTGTTTTGTTTTTACCTAATAGAGCATTTTTCCTTACTTTTATTTTAAAACTGTAATTCTAAATCATCAGGGCTTGAGGAAGGTCTTTTTTCTTAAAAGTAATTTTCATATTCTTAAGTATACTGTTGAATACGTCAAAGACTTAGAAAGATGAGTTGAGTGGGATAGTTTTAACCCCCGAGGCAGAATTACAGATTTTTAGAAAGTTAATTTAACAAATTAAATTGTTCTAATATGATATGATCTCTGGGTGGGCATGTTTCACTGAGATACTGGCTTTACTTCTGTTATCAAAAAAGTGAGGGTTCAAGGAAGGTGAGAAATAAAAAAAATGGAAGGAAATATCTTTTGAGAAAAATAGGAAAAAGGAAATTGGAGAATTTTGAGAATTGATTGGTTCTGGTGTGCTGTAAGTGGGTGGATATGCCTTTTTTTTTTTTGCTACAGGAAGTTGTAAGTGATTTGCTGTGTTCACTGAGCCTTTGTTGAAGAGGGTCTCCTCATTTGTGTGAGTCATGCTTTTACTGTGAGAGACTTGGCAGCTAAGCAGGATTGGAATCTCTATCAGAAAACTATTACTTTTCCTAGTCTATGGAACCATAGGCAGTTTTCTTTCGTGGCTTTTGTTTTATTTTTGATGGAGTGTGGAACAATTTTCTTCTCCTTTTCTTCCTTCCTTTAAAGACTTTTTTTGGGGGGAAGCATACCAATTTTACTGTCCTTACTCAATTATTATGTATTGTCTGCTATGAGAGAACAGGTGTTTTCTGGGTTGGCATCAGCTCTGCCAAAACATATACAGGAAACCAGATAGAAGGGCATGCGTCAACATACCAAGTATAACCGCTTCAGGAATGATTCAGTGACATCAGTTGATGAACTTATCCACAATTTGTCCACGAACACCAGCAAGGTCTCAACAATTGCCACAACCTCAGCAATATCATCCTCATATGTGGTCTCAACCAAGGTTCTCCATAAAGACCAGGAGGATGGACCCACCACGCTTTGTACTCTCAAACATAAAGTATCTCACTTGAAATTCTCCAGCTCCAGTAACCTTTTGGGCATCAAAAACCTGCCTTCTGCAGTGAAGGACCTTGCTGTTTCCAAGTTGCCAGGCAGCTTGAGTGTTCCTAGCTCAGCATCAGGCGCTTCAGACAACACATGTAACCTTGTCTCTGCCACTCTGTGTTCTCAGCAGAACACAAGCAAGATGAGCACAGGGAAAAAATTTCAGTCAGAGGAGATGCAACTAGGAGGTGAAGTCTGCAATTCAAATAGCATTTTTGTCAATAAGCCTTCTGGAGGGTGGCTGCATTCAAATGAAAAGATCCTGGGACCTGGTGTGACGTTTGAAGTGAAGGTTGGTTTGCTTTCTTTCCATTCTCCCTTTTTATCAATGAAAATGTCCATGCTAGTTTCCAGGATAGATTGGTGAGGCTGCAATAGTCAGTGTTGACCTATTATTTTCCCATATATGCTGCACAGGTTAGAAGTACAGAAAAGCAGACTTAGGAAAATTAGCATTAATTGTCACATTAAGGAAGGAGAAACATGTACTTTAACTCTTAGCAGTCAGCATGTTTTTGCAGCGGTGTTGGGAGAAATGCAGAGGTGTCTTCTCAAATACACAGACACACATATGTTGTATATGCATATATTTACATATATAGCTGTTTCAGTAAATCCAAGCTTTTAATTTAATGTAGTTTATTTTTATATCTCATTGTCACATAGTTATTCAGTATGTCTGCTAAAATTTCTCATTAAGGAGCAGACCTACCTTTGCATATAAAAAGGACTTATTTGTCATCTAGCAGATTTTAAAATAAAAAATATCTATAAAGAAATAATTATGGTAATCTTTTTGAATGAAATGGAATAAAACATATTGTCACTGTAATCAGTTAGGGTTTGCCAAGTCAGTTGGTGCTTTTATTTTTTTCCTTATAAATAGAATTATTATCTTTGCTTAGTGGAGCAAAATGCTTTAAATGAGAGACTGAGTTTCTCAAATAGCAGGATTTTTCCTAGCGTGTGTGTGTATTTCATTTGAGCACTTATGTTTTGTGTTCAGAACAGCTAAACTTGAATGTGGGGTGGATTTTTGCAGCTATTATCTTCAGAAAGCATTTAAAAGCCTGGTTTAAATAGATTGGAAGGAGTGGGGCTTAGGAAAGCTGGCAGAAGAGTCTAGTTTTCATTTTCCAGTAGAATAGCTATAAAAGTACAATCTAATTCTTAACAGTTTAGCCATTCTAGCAAAATTTCTTAAAATGCATTCTAAATAAATCTTGATTAAAAAGCCAGGTTGAAAAAAAATACTAAAATGTTGTTATTCCAAGGTACTGATTTTTATTTGAAAGGGAATGAAAATAATTTGTCTCTCTACCGTATATGACATTGAGAAACCAGTAGGATTTTTGTTCCTAAGTGATGGCTGAATATAGTTTAGAATGGGCTACTTCAAATTTCAGTTTGCATGGCTTCTTTATTACAAAACAGGATCTTTGTTATGATTATTTTTGATGGCCAAAAATATTGAAGGAATTACTTTTTGAATCAGGTATGGACAAAACAGTTTTCTGCAAATAGGCTTTTTCTTACTATTTTGAGTTTTATATTAAAATGTAGTATTATTATATCTGAAAATGAATCACTCTATTTTGGTACCAATGGTATTTCTTCATAAAACAGGCAGATGATAACTTTTGAAATTAAATATTTTTGATTAAATTTATTTTATATGGAATAATTATATAACTGTTGAATAACAAAATAGGCATAAATTTTGAACTTAGTTTTAAAGTTAATACCAGAGTGGACTATTCTAAGAATACTAATATAATTATAATTTTAAATAAATCACCCTGTATTTAAATTATATACTGGAAAAGATTTCTAGATATGCATCACCGTGGAGTAGTGGAAAACCTCCTAAAGAGTTCAGAATAACTAGGTTCAAGCTGACTCTAACACTTGCTACTTTAGTCAAAGCATTTAGTCTTATATTATTTTCTTCATATATAAAACACACAAATTGGACTAAATAATCTCCAAAATCCCTTCCAGTTTTAAATCTTATGATCTTATAATTTAACTAACATATGATTAAAAAACAGTAGGATTTATGGCATTTCTGGTTCAGTTGTCCTTGACTTTTGAGAAAACATGGAAAACTATACTTTCAATATTTTCCCCTTTAAAACAATGTTAACTTTTTCTTTTATTCTTGTTTCATATAAAGTTGAACTATACCAATAGTATTAACAGCCAAATACTAAAAACAAGACAGCTACAAATAGTAAATCAATAATTAGTATATAGGGTTTTTTTTTTTAACGCTATCCTTGTTAGGAAGCCAGTTACATTAGATACCTCCACTTTCCTCTCACTTGCTTCTAAATTCTTTGTAATCTAGTTTCTGACCTCATCATTAAAGTGAAACTGCTCTCTCCAAAGTCACTAATGATCTCTTATTTGACAAATCTTCATTTTTCTTAATTTCTCTGTCCCCTTTGACACTGCTGATCTCTCCTTCCTGCATACTACTCTCTCTTTTCTCGGTTTTCATGACACTGCTGTCTTCTAGTTTTCTTCCTGCCTGTATGGCAGTTTCTCAGTCTATATTGCTGTATCTTCATCCAGGTAGCATCCAGTAATTATGAGTTCCTTAAAGGCTCTGTCTTGGGCTTTCTTTTCTTCTCCTAATACCATCTTACTTAAAAATCTCATCAGCATCCATGAGTTCAAATACTCTCTCTCTGCAGGTGATTCCAAAAGCTATTTATCTACCAAAAGTTCTTCTCATGATCTACTTTTCTGCATCTTTGAAGTATGTCCTTTGGACACCTTTTGTACCTCTCAAATTTTCCTATACTTATTATGTCAATTTCTTTTTCTTTCTTTCTTTCTTTTAGGCAACTGGGGTTAAGTGACTTGCCCAGCTAGTAAGTGTCAAGGGTTTGGTCTGAGGCCAGATTGTCAATTTCTTTTTCTTGTCTTATTGCTATAGAATGCATTTTTAGCCTATGTTGAATGGTGATGGTGAATAGACATCTTTACTTTGCTTTACCCCTGATCTTATTGGAAAGGCATCTAGTTTATCTCTATTACAGCTATTGCTGTCTTTTGGTTATAGATAGATACTACTTATCAGATTAAGGCAAAATAAGTTTATTCTTATGTTTTCTAGTGTTTTTTTCTTAATAAGAATAGCTTCCTGCATCTTATAGAGAGCCTTTTTGCATCTTTTAATATAACCATATTTTTTTTGTTCTTGTGATTTATATATTCAGTTATTTTTAATAGCTTTCCTAATTTTGAATCAGTCCTCTATTTTTGGTATAAGTCTGACTGATCATGGTGTATAATCTGTGTGATATATTGCCATAGACTTCTTGTTATTGTTTTATTAAAAATTTTTACATCAACTTTCATTGGGGATATGAGACTATAGTTTTCTTTCTTTGCTTTGACTTTCTGGTTTAAGTATCAGAATCATTTGCATCGTAGAAGATAGTATTAGAACCTTTTCTTTTCCTAATTTTTCACAATTTTCATTGTAGGGGATTAATTATTCTTTAAATGTTTGATAAAATTTACTTGTAAGTGCATCTATCCTGTTTTTTTTTCTTCATGAGTTTCTTTATGGCTTATTAAATTTCTTTTTCTAATGTTGGGTTATTTAAGTACTCTACTTTCAATTCTACTAACATGAACATTTTATATTTTTGTAAATTTTCATCTGTTTTATTTAGATTGTCAGTTTTATTGGCATGTAAGAAGGGAAATAGTTTCAAATAATTTCTTTTGTTTCTTCATTGGTTGGAATTCACTCCTTTTATTTTATTTCCTCCCCATTACATGTAAAAACAATTTTAAACATTTTTTAAAGTTTTGGGTTCCAAATCCTTTCTCTTCTTCATTTCCTCCCTCCCTGAGACAGTAAGCAATCTGATGTAGGTTATACATGTGCAATCATGTAAAACATTTCCATATTTGTAATTTTGTGCCAAGAAGACTCACTCTTCCTGCCCTTTCCATTCTTCTTTTAAGATAATCAAAATATAACAGAACCACTCTCAAGCCCTCTTGTCTAATAAGACTCCCTTTGTGACCACTGATACTGATAGAGTTCTGAGGGACTACATGTTTCACCTCCCCATGTTCGAATGTAAACAGTTCAGTCCCTTATGATTGCTTCTCATGTTTGTCTTTTTATATTTCTCCTGACTCCTGAGATTGTATTTTAAAGTGCAACTCTGATCTTTTCGTCAGGAACGTGTATAAGTCCTCTATTTTATTAAAGCTACATTTTTTCCTTTGTAGGATTGTCCTGTATTTTGCCAGCTAAGTTATTCTTGTTTATAGGCATAGATCATTTGCTTCCTGGAATATCATCTAAGCTCTTCTCTCTTTTGGAATTGTGACTCTTAAATCTTTTGTAATCCTTAATGTATCTCCTAGATACTTGACTTCTTTCTTTCTGGCTGTTTACAGTATTTTTCTTTGACCTGGAAGCTCTAAATTTTGGCTATAATATTCCTGGGAATTTTTATTTGGGAGTTTCTTTCAGGAGGCTACCAGTGAATTATTTCTATCTTGCTCTTTGCTTCTGAGAAATCTTGGCAGTTTCCTTTTATGATTTCTTGAAATATGATGTCTAGGATCTTTTTTTTAAGCCATAGGTTTTAGGTAATCCTCAAATTAGGTAATTAAATTAAATTAGGTAATTCTTAAATTGTCTCCCCTTGATCTATTTTCTAGGTCAGTTTATTTTTTGTTCTGAGATATCTTACATTCCTCTTTGCATCTCTATTTTTCAGTCTTTTGTCTTCAACCTTTTTTATTTTATCATGGAGTCATTATCTTTTATTTGGTCTATTTTAATTTTCAGGGAGTTTTTTTCCTTGGGTAAAGTTTTAGACATCTTTTTCATAATTGTTCATTTTTTTTACCCAAATCTTTTTCCATAGTTCTTATTTCTTTTTCCATTTTTATCTTCTAAGGCTCTAATTTGATTTTAAAAATTCTTTTTAACTCACATTTTTTTCAATAATTTAAATTTGCTTTATATTTTAACTAAATTACTTCATCTCCCAAAAATTCTGGATGGCTTTGTGCATAAGATGTATTCTTTTTTTTGAAACTTTGCTTATAGATGTTTTGGAGTCATTCTCATCTTCTAGGTTTGCATCTTGAGTGTCCCTGACATCATAATAGCTCTTTACGATAAGATTCTTTTTATTTCCTTTTCTTTTCATTTTTTCAACCTACTTCTTGATTTCAGACTTTATGTGCACCAGGTTCTGGACACTTCTGGGGGAAATTTCTGGACTTGACTTGTTTCTCTTAGGTTTT